CAGAGGGATGGGGCGCCAGCAAAGGCCCTCAGCCTGGTGCTCTGAAACAGGCTGGCTACACTGGAGCACGCTGGAAGTCTTACAGAGATGAGCCAGGGGCCAGCCAGTCAGTCACCTTCATCAGGGGCCCAAGTGAAATGGCTCTATGCAAATGAACGTAGCATGAGGAACAAATGAGAGCAGTTAGACATGCGCATGCTGTAAGGTTACGAACTCAGGATCATGGAGATGTGGTGGGATGGCTCCTATGACTGGAGTGTTGGGATGGAAGGACACAGGCTCTTTAGGAAGGACAGGCAGGGGAGGTGAGGGGGGTGTCATCCTTTATGTCAATGACCAGCTGGAGGGCATGGAGCTCTGCCCGGGGATGGGTGAGGAGCTGACCGAGAGTTTATGGGTCAAGATTAAAGTGAGGGCAGGGAGAGGGGACATTAGAGTGGGGGTCTGCTACAGGTCACCTGACCTGGAAGACCGACTGGATAAGGCTCTTTGTCGGCAGGTAGAAGCAGCCTCCTGTTCATAAGGCTTGGCCCTCATGGGTGACTTCAGTCACCCCGATATCTGTTGGAGGGGCAACACAGCAGGGCACAAGTAATGCAGGAGGTTGATGCAGCCTAGGACGTGGTTGGCTTTCGGGGCTGCAGGCATGCATTGCCAGCTCATGTTGAGCCTCTCATCCACCAAGACCCCCCAACTCCTCTTCCTCAGAGCTGCTCTCAGCCCATTCTCTGCCCAGCCTGTAGTTGTGTTTGAGATTGCCCTACCCATGTGCAGGACCTTGCACTTGGTGCAAGTTGAAGCATCGTATCTTATCTTAACTAAACTTAAACCAGTTTCCTGTGAGGGAGATTTTCCAATAATTTCATTCATTGTCATAAAACTGCCTGTGTTTTTAAACTGTTTTTGTTAGGGGTATTTTTTGTGGGAGTTTTGGTTTTTTTGGTGTTATTCACAATACACATATGTATCCTTTACCACGTTCTTTGATCAGCAGTTGAGTTACAAATAACGATCAAGTTTAAAATGTAAATTAAGAAACAGAAAACACTTTGATATAGGGGCCTTCACACTAGGACAGTTGTTTTGCAATGAAAGCTAGTAGATAGAATTGTATGTGTTTGCTATTTGCAGCTTTTATTTTTGTTTGAAGATGCCAGTAAAATAAGAAACAAATATCCTTAAAAGAAATTGAACATGAGACTTGTGGGGGGGGGGAGTGCCACATGTGTAGTGTGGGTGATACTCCATAGGGAAGGGATGCCGTCCAGACAGAGGGACATCTTTGTTGGTGACGTGGACAGTGGGATTGAGTGCACCCTCAGCAAATTTGCTGATGACACCAAGCTGTGTGGTGCTGTTGACATGCTGGAGGGAAGGGGTGCCATCCAGAGGGACCTGGAGAGGTGGGCCCATGAGAACCTCATGAAGTTCAACAAGGTGAAGTGCAAGGTCTTGCACATGGGTCTGGGCAATCACAAATGTGGGTACAGGCTGGGTGATGAGTGGATTGAGAACAACCCCAAGGGGGACGACTTCATGGTATTGGTGGATGAAAACCTGAATATGAGCTGATAGCATCCTGGGCTGCATCAAAAGCAGCATGACCAGCAGGTCGAGGGAGGGGATTCTACTGCTCTACTCCTCCAGGTGGGGGTCTCACCAGAGCATACTGCACCCAGCTCAGGGGTCCCCAGGACAAGAGAGACATGGAGCTGTTGGAGCGAGTCCAGAGGAGGCCATGAAGATGATCCGAGGGCTGGAGCACCTCTGCTATGGAGACAGGCTGGGAGAGTTGGGGTTGTTCAGCCTGGAGAAGAGAAGGCTGCGGGGAGACCTTAGAGCAGCCTTACAGTACTTAAACAGTCCCTCACCATCTTTCCTGTAGACCTCCTTTATCAGGGAGTGTAGTGATAGGACAAGGAGTAATGGCTTTAAACTGAAGGAGGGTAGATTTAGTTTAGACATAAGGAAGAAATTCTTCCCTGTGAGGGTGCTGAGGCCCTGGCACAGGTTACCCAGAGAAGCTGTGGCTGTCCCTGGCTCCCTGGCAGTGGTCCAGGCCACGGTGGATGGGGCTTTGGGCAACCTGGGCTAGTGGAGGGTGTCCCTGCCCATGGCAGGGGGTGGCACTGGATGGGCTGTGAGGTCCCTTCCAACCCAAATCAGTCTGTGATTCTATGTGTTTTACAATGTGTGCAATACATACATGTATGTACAATTGGTATCTTGAACACAACTCGTGAATTTATATGGAGCCAAGTTCATAAAGCAGTTGAATAGCTTCATTTTATAAAAAGTGAAATATCTTTAGGATGTTCTAACACTGTATGATCTAAGGAACAGCTTAACTTTTTAGTTTAAAGATGTTTGTATCAGGAGTAGGGACATATTTTTAAATTTAGGATTAAAATATTGTTGTAACAATAGACATTCTGATACTGTTCTGAAGCAAGGATGGTTCTTTCCTCTGTGTTATTTAACAGCTTCCAGCGCTTTTGTGTGTATCTTCAGCTGCTTGACAAAACTTTTGGCTGCTCGAGGGATGGAGGGAATGAGTGGAGGAGATATAGATGGGAACGTTTAATTTACTAGTGAGATGCACAACATTTTTGCTTTGGTGGAACAGCACCTTCTCACAAGGC